GAACATGCTGGAAGGGGTCCACCTCGCCATCAATGGCCCAGGGGTCGAACCCCTGCCGTTTTATCGGAGATATCTCGATTATAGGAGGCCAAACTACATCACTGGCCGACTTCCTCTACTTCGCAATTGAGGTGTCGTGTGTGCTTTTCGCGTGGGAAACGAAGAACCGTCTAGACAATGTGCGTGAAGTGCGACGTCGGACCCTGGATTTCCAGATGTTTCCAAGATTTCGACACGAAGCCAACTTCCGTTAGACGACGCAGGTAGGAAGAGAGACAACTTATAAAGCTGGTGACCAAAAATCGTGTAAGTAGAAAAAGAATTTATAACTTAAAATTAGATTTTAAAAAGCCGGCCGCACGCGTGGACTGCGCGACGACATATGGCGTCATTCGTCCCCTTGACTTTATTTTCATGATGCCATATGGTGTCGCTCGGCTCTTAAAGGTTAAGTTATTTACACCAAACAACTTTAATCACTGCTGCACTTGAACTACCAACAGGCTGACTGCAAAAGGTGAACACAACTGCAAGTGTTCGGACTCAAAATGAGGCCACTTTCCAAACTTTCTGTAAGAGGTACAGTATCTCCATACATTCTGGAACATAACACTACTTAAACAAATCATCCCTCTAGGAATATAAGATTGCAAGATATCAAAAAATAAATGTAAATGAACGAAACAGCAGCAGACATGAATTGTTTCTTGCACTACACAGAACCTGTCTTGGTCTCTTAAGAACCAACTGACATACAGGAAATGAGATCACTAGATGAAAAGATCCAGTATATAAGAAGTGCTATCAATATTTAAATTAACAGTGACAAATTAATACATTAACATTTTATATGTACCACATTTCATACGCAAACTACATAGTCAACTTGTGTACAGCTTTCTAAACAGGCTTTGTCCACACTCCAAATAACATAACATGTTCCCAACAGGAGAATAGTTCTGTCCTTGGCTGTGCATAACAAGGTAAATGATTGTTATTTACTATAATTCATTAGCTGAACTGTATGAGTTAAGACATTAGACTTTTAGCAAATGACCTGCATTTTGCTGAGTCAGAGCTTCTCTCCTGAGTAACCAACTTTTATCCTAAATTAAATTAAATCTTTATCCTTCAGACAGCATAGTTACAAATGTAAAAGCTGTCACATGTGCAAGTACAGGAAAATTATTATGGTATTAAAACATAACATAACATACACACATACATAGTGACAAACTATTTTCAATCTCTATCTCTCTCATGCGCACACACACACGTATATATATATACCGTGTGAATTTACATCAATAATCAGTGTTCAGCTCTTTCATCAGTCATAAGATCTACAGAGCCATATTCTAGAGTGTGTTAAAAGCATACAATTTCAGATACCATACAGGGTACTGAAAGATTAAACCTTTTACATTTTAATACCACTGCTATCAAAAACATACATGTCACCATATAAATGTTGTGTGTTAAGATATGGATCAATGTCAACATTTTGTTATTTTCCACATTCCTACAAAATTTCCTTAATAAAACCCACATACGTTTCAGAGAATTCTCTTCACAAATTCACACAGAAATAATGTCAGTTCAGTTGAAAACAAGAAGTTAGAAGTAGCATCTTGAGTTCTCTTATGGAGAACTCAAGTTTCAAATAAATTACACAGTTCATGTCTGCAGTTTAGTCAGAAGACAGATGTACAATCACACCACATCACTAATAGGGTTTCAAAGAAGGAATACTGTTCCTTTGCAACATTAAAGACATGCTACTCCCAGGATCTGTAAGTTCTTAATCAGTTAATGTGATTTGCAGAGATTTCAATTCATGAAATTTTAAAATACTTATGCTTATATGAAACTAATTAATCTCAACAATTCAGTAGTTCAAGGATTCCCATTTTAAACAAGCTTACAACTCAAACACAGTCTCCTGAATTTTTGTTATAACCTTTGTTAATATGATTAAATACTGCAGATAATTTACACCGACTTCAAATAAACACCAGTTTCGTTTAGCATGCAAAATGACTCGTATAGGTCTCCACAACTCTGTTCCATGAATAACTGAATTGCCTAAAACTGTTCACTGATTTTTACCAACAGTTCAAGCAACTTTACATTCAATTTAAATGGCTTAAGTTCTAAAATAAATCTTACACACTGATCTTAAGAACTGAAATTTTCTTAATTCATGTCATGGTTATTTCACTTGGACAAGTGAACAACATACTGGCAAAGATTTGCTACAGGAAAAAGTTTCTGCTCTGATTTTAAAACTACAAATCGTGAACTTGTAATTAATTACACCACTTACATCAGACTTGACGACAGTGGCAGGCAACAGATCTATCACATCCAACAAGGTTTCAAGCCACGCACTGGCTACCACTGCAACAGACAGACAAATTGCAAAGCATAAAAAAACTTGAAATCAAATTCGTACAAAAGATTTACAGGAAAAAATAATGAACAATTACATTTCTGTCTAGATAACCATAATTGGTTTTCAAGACATCTCCAGTGAATTACTTACTGTTTACTTAGTAGTTAGATCAAGAAATATGTCATTTGATACTGTTTCAATCACACATGTGAAAACATTTAGTGAAGACATGTAGAACATGTTCTTTCAACAACTGATTCAAGAGAACAAGGAGTTTACATCTAGTTTTGTTTCAAACTAGGGAAAAAAATAACCTGAAACACTTTACATGCCATGAACAGTGTTTGAAATTGATTTATGAAAAGTATAACCATACTGATGGTGTTCAAGGTTCAAAGACATACCAACTCCTGTGGACAATAAAAAACATTGTAGCAGCACAAGCAGAACAGGTAAAAATGCTGTATGTTTCTTTTGGCAAATATCATCATCTCAGAGAAACCTGTTGCCTATGCTTCTATGGCTGAAATGTGTGGGGTGAGAAATTGGTTCCCCCTGATGGTGTCCCTACTTTGATGTAGTGGAGGGGCTTGCATGGTCAAATGAGAGCTATGTCAGCGGTAGCATAGCTACTGGTAGGGCCACCCACGCCGGACAGGTCGAAGGGGATGACCCGGACTAAAAGAGATACCCTGGTCCTCCAGGTTGCGGGTTGGGAGAGGCTGACGACCTTTTACCATAAAAAAAATATAAATGTCTCAAAACCTGGAATCAAGCCTCGGAAACCTCATCAGAATGGAAGACAACAATTGGCAAAGAATATGGACTACTCTCTAGGTACATGGAATGTGAAAACCCTCAATAAACCAGGTGCCATGAAATCGGTACTAGAACAGATAGATAAGTACAATATGAAAATCACAGCCATACAGGAAATTAGATGGCTGGGTAAAGGAATCATGAACTTAAACAAACATACTATATGTTACAGTGGTAAAGCAGAAGGCAATAAGGAATTTGGTGTAGCGTTTGTAATAGAATGAGAATTTAAAAGTGCAATAATAGACTTTAAACCAATAAGTGAAAGAATTTGCACTTTGAGAATCAGAACAAAATTTTTCAATACGACGTTGATGAGAGTGCACGCACCTACAGAAGAAAAAGAAGATGAGATCAAAGACTATTTCTATCAACAAATGGAAGAGACATGATTCAATACCAAGTAATGACATAAATGTTATTTTAGGGGATCTTAACGCCAAAATAGGTAAAGAGAAGGAATACAGATGAGTAATTGGGACAGAAAGTTTACATGATAGAACCAACCATAATGGAATAAAATTAATAGATTTTGCAGAAAGCAAGAACTTTTACATGATACAACCAACCATAATGGAATAAAATTCATCGATTTTGCAGAAAGCAAGAACTTAATCATCAGCTCTACATACTTCCAGCACAAAAATATACATAAAAGAACATGGGCAGCACCAGATGGGGTAACCTTCAAACAAATATATCATGTCCTCATAGAGAAGCGATTTGCGATGAATACCCTGGATGTAAGAACATTAACAGGGGCCAACTGTGATAGTGATCATTACTTAGTACAGGTTAAATATAGATGTAAAATAAGTTGTCAAAGATCTAAGAAGTATGAGAAATGTAAGAAATTTAATACTGACAAAATTACGGAGAGTGATAAGAGAGAACCATTTCAAAATAAAATTAAAGAAATTAATGACAATAGAGCAAATAAAGAAGTAACAGTACAAGGGATATGGGTAGATTTTAAAACCGCAATAATTACAGAAGCCAAGAGGACTCTGGGATATCAGGAGAAAGAGGATAATAGAGAATGGTTCGACGAGTAATGTAGGGAGAGTATAAACCTCAAGAATAAGCAATATATGGAATATATGGAAAGATCAACAAGAGCAAGAAATGAGGCATATAAAGAAGCAAGAAGGAAAGCAGAAAAGATTTGCAGGAAAAAGAAACAGGCCTTTCTAAATGAGCAGTTGCCGCAAATGGAAGAAGACTTCAAAAATAACAAAACAAAAAATGCCTTTGGTCAGATCAAATATACTGTCACGTGTTGGGTGTGTCATGCGACAAATAACTTCACGTGGGTCTCGGATTCAGCGAATCTTTATTGGACACTCAATCTTACACACCTTACAATTGTTATCACTTCAACTGTATTCTGCGGCGGCTATCTTTCAACCGTCTTGTATGGCGACTAGGTTCCAACTGTCTTCTATGGCGACTAGGTTCCAGCTGTGTTCTTGCTGTCTGTAGCTCTCGGCTTATGTAGGTGTTCTGCGGACTCAGTCACCCCTCGCCAAGGTTCGATCTAACATGTTCGGCAATCCGTTGCTGCGGGAACGCTCTTTATACACTGGTAACAAGTTTCGTCTCAGCCGTTGTTACTCAACAGCTTTCTGTTGTTCATCTCCGGGGAAACACGTTCGTTGTTTCGGCACTGTCTACGCAACGGCCCACTGTTATTGCATTACCGTGGAAGTATCTACTCCAAACACGTTACAATATGAAAGAAGGTTTCAAACCAAAAACAGAATTTATCCGAGACAAAAAAGGATTCTAATAAATAATAAAACAGAGATTATGAATACATGGAAAGAATATTTTGAACAATTATTAAATCAAAATCAGAATATTGAAGATAACGAGGACAATGAAGAAGAAAATACAGACGATAGAGAAGGGGAAGAGGAAGAGATAATAGAGCCCCCAAGAAAGGAAGAAGTGGAAGAAGCATTAAAGGAACAAAAACTAAATAAAGCACCAGGAGATAACATACCAGCAGAATTATTGAAGGCAGGAGGACAAGAAGGAATAAGAGCACTCCACAGAATCATAAATAAAGTGTGGGAAGAAGAAAATATACCAGAAGATTGGGGAAAGAGCATTATATGTCCCACATTTAAAAAAGGGGATAAATTAACATGTAGTAACTATAGAGGTATATCGTTAGTATTGACAGCATATAAAATTTTAACAAGGATACTAAAAAAGAGACTGGATCCATATATAGAAAAAATAATAGGAGAATATCAATCAGGATTTTGACCCAGTAGGTCAACAATAGACAATTTATGTAAGTTTTGAGGTTTTCACGGCGATGACAATGAAGAAAGTCGTCTTCTGGGTGCCTAAACCCAGAAGACGACTTTCTTCAACAGGCAATTTATTCACCCTGAGACAAATAACGGAGAAATGCTGGGAATTTAATATAGATATTTACCTATGCTTCATAGATTTTAAACAAGCATATGATACAATAATAAGGAAGAAATTAAGGATGATTATGTCCACTTTTGGTATTCCAACAAAACTAAGTAGAATAATTAACTTAACCATGACAGAAACAATCAATCAAGTTAAAATTCAGAACCACTTAACAGAATGCTTTAAGACAAATCAAGGATTAAAACAGGGAGATAGTTTGGCACCATCACTATTTAATTTGGTATTGGAATTTATAGTGAGGAAATGTAATGTAGACACAAGGAAAACAACAGCGTATAAACAAACGCAAATAATGGCGTATGCGGATTATATTATTATAGTATGGAGATCCCTAAGAGCAATAAAGGAGACATATAAGAAATAAAAACCATAGAAAAACAACTGGCTTAGAGGTGAATGTAAATAAAACTAAAATGCTGATACAATCTAGAAGGAATCCAAGGCAAACTGGAGAAATTAACATGGAAGGGGACGGGATAGAAATAGTTGAAGACTTCATATATTTAGGATCAAAATTCCACAAAGATGGAGAGGAAACTCATGAACTAACAAGAAGAATAAAACTAGTGAATAATGCATATTTCTCGTTACTATCAGTTTTTAGATCAAAGGATATAGACTGAGTGATTAAAACAATGATAAGACTGGTGCTTTATTATGGATGTGAGGGTTGGACGCTAAACAAGAAAGAGGAATCAGTCATCAATTCATTCGAGAGGGAAATCCTAAGACAAATTTATGGATGAATAAAAGAGAATGGGATATGGAGAATAAGATACTCGTATAATAAAGAGTTATACAGATTATATAAGGAGCCAGAGATCTCAGTGATGATAAAGCTTAAAAGACTGCAATGGGCTGGGCATGCACAGAGAATAAATAAGTGTATCCCAAAGAAAATATTATATAGTACAATAGGCAGTAGGACACGTGCTGGGAAACCAAGAACTAGATGGATTGATGTGGCAGAAGATGCGAAGAAGTGAATGGGTGTAAGGAACATGAAGAGAGCAGGGCAGGACAGAGAGGAATGGAGGGGCTTGGTAAGGGAGGCCAAGGCCCGACATCGGGCTGTTGCGCCACAGAAGAACAAGAAGAGGAACTGGTTGCTTTATACAGGTAGCATACAAAGAGATGGTCACTCAGACCACTGGGAGAGAGAGAAGAAACTGAGGCCAGTCCAGGACAATAGGCCCCCCACATTCCTTACAACCTGCCTATATAAATCAACTGATTCCTCACTGTACACATGTCAACCCTGAAGGTGAAAGCAGAATGTTCCTTCAAAACATTTGTATCTGCCTACAAGACTGCAAGCTGTCACAACCCTGAAAACCACAATCAGAATAATCACCAAAGTGAAAACTAGAATATAAGTTCTACTTATATTTGTGAAGTTTTCTTGTACAAATTCAATTTTGACGTCTTATAAAATCTGTTCCTCTCTTTTGTAGACACGAAAAGTGCATCTTGAAAATACAAAACAGAATTTGATAAAAAGGCAATAAGAAACCATTATCCAAGTCTCTGATACTAATGGAATACAAAAGCAGTGAATAAATGTAGGTATATGTGAAAATGTATAACAACTTGTCAGCACCTGGATCTCTACTATCTATGGAAGACAAAATTCCCTGTAGGAAAGTCTGTGTGAAGGTGCGTGGATGAACCAATTTTTTCTCCAGGATCGTGAGGAAAGTGGAACTGGCAGCTAAATGGAACTCTGCACTTGCACTTGGTAAACCCTGAAACAGAAACACATTCATAAATTTACTCCCTGGCAATATATTACATGATTGCTGGATTATGTAAGACATTTTCTCATATTTGTACTTAATAGGATGGAAGTAAATTGGTGCTGGAGAAAAATGTATAATGAAGATTCATATAATTAGTACTCTTTGCCACACATAATTAAGATAATCAAACCATACAGGACGAAATGGGAGGGGCATGCAGCTTGCATGGAAGAAATCAGAAATACATACAAAATTTTATTTGGAAAACCTGAAGAGAAGAGACCTCTTAGAAAACTTAGGCTTCTGTCTTACTGCTAGTGGGGTGGGACTAAGTCCCTTGTACTACGGCCACTTCTGGCCTATTGTACCAGCCCCAGACGACAGGTGAGGGTGATTGTGGAGCAATTGGTGGAATGAAGATTGGTACGGTAAACTGAAGTACTCGTAGAAAACTTGCCCCAGCGCCACTTTGTCCACCACAAATCCTACTTGACCAGACCTGGGATCGAACTCGGACCACCGCGATGAGAAGCCAGTGACCAACTGCTTGAGCTATGGCGCGGCCAAACTTAGGCTTAGACAGGAGGGTAATACAGATATGGATCTTAAAGAATTATGGTGGGATGATGTGACCATAATTCATCTTGCTCAGCATAAAAGACCAACGGCAAGTTCTTGTAAGCACAGTAATGAACCTTCAGGTTCCACAAATGCATGTTATTTCTCAAATAGCTAAGCAACTACCACTTTCTTAAGGATGTTAGTTACAATGACTGATTGATTGATTGAGTGATTGATTGAATGAAACCTGAGAAGTTTGCTACTCCTGCAAGTTATCCACTAGCCATAACTGGTCTCATTTTCATAAAATCAGCAATCTCACAGCTTTTTTTTTTTTGCAGTTTATTTTATGATGCCTGAATATCTAGATTACATAGCACTGAATGGTAGGATGATTATGAATGATAAATTGGAAGACATTTGGAAGAAAGAGATCATGGCACAGTCAAGGTACTATTCTGGTAACTGTTTGGAGGAAATTATGAAAACAATGACAACCCTCAGTCAGGGTAGCTGGTGTCCTGGCAGAGATTTTAATTAAACACAGTCCAAAATCCAGTGAATAATGTTACTACACCAACCTGCTCAATATAAAATTATACTAACACACAGCAAACTTTATCTTGGCCACATGTTTCTCCACTATCTTGACCACCCCTTGTATTTCATGCTCTGGCTCTGTATATATGTTAACCTTGTCCTGCTTGCCACACATAATTTTTTTACCAGTCTGTACAAATTCAAATTCCTGCACCCATCTGTCCTCTGTGTGTACTACAACTGCCAAACACCTTCCTTCCATTTCGTTGTTACTGATACATCAATACTTAGCAATCCACTAAATGTTGAGAATGTTTAGTACAACTGTGATTAATTCAACTCCACATGAACTAGAATCGCCAGTTACGTTACATTACATTACATTACATTACATTGTCTTCCATGGATCCAAAGTTAGTCAAAGTGACTGTAGGATGCGGAATATGTCATATAAATACAAAACATATGTACAGTCTGAATGGAGTTCTCACACAAGAGAAACCAAGAATACACAGTGACTACACACAAGGCTATTCAAAGATACATAAGTTATTTTCTAGACAATAGGTATTCATCAACAGAGTAGAATAAATGTGTATTGAAGTATCAATTCAGTGCTATTTTAAATTGTGTCTTTTCATTCATAAGACCTTTGAGATCATATGACAGGTTATTAAAAATTTTGATCCCCGCATAATATGCGCTTTTCTGAAAACACGAGAGGTTAGCAGTTGGTTTATGAAGACAGTGTTTGTGTCTTGTGTTAACACTGTTTACATCCGCATTCATCTGAAAATGTTCTTCATTATGTGTAATGAAGTTTATTAATGAATATATATATATTCACAAGGAAAAGTTAATAATCTTAAATAGATCTCTACAGGAAATATGGGATTTGACACCCATCATGATTCTAACAATTTTCTTTTGCAATGTAAATACCATTTTATTGTCAGATGAATTACCCCAGAAAATTACTCCATACTTCTTTAAAGAGTGAAAGTAAGCAAAATAGACTGATTTGAGATTGTCAATGTTACTAATATGTAACATGAATCCAACGGCATAACATGCTCTACTTAGCTTTGGAATCAACTGATCAATATGGTTTTTCCAGTTCAAGTGATTATCAATTTGCAAGCCAAGGAATTTTGCATTTACTCCCTCTTCTATATATCTATATTATATCCTATGTTTAATGGATATTGTGGCGAGTTTTCTGTCATAAATTTTATTACATTTGTCTTTTCTAGGTTCAGGGACAGCTTGTTTGCAGAAAACCATTTACTTATTTGCGAAAGAACCTTGCTTGACAACATGAAGAAATCATCTAAATTTTTACCAGAAATTATATTATAGTTATTGATGAGGTCCTTAGTGTAGAAGGGAGGTCGTTTATATAAATTATGAAAAGCAAAGGCCCCAAAATTGACCCCCGTGGAACTCCATGTTTTATTATTCCCCAATTTGAGTAGGTACTTTGGATTGAATTTCATGATTTTATTTAAATCTTTTGTTTTCTATCTGTTAGGTAGGATCTGAACCAACATAATGTTGTCCCTTGAATGCCAAAAAAATGTAATTTAGTTAATAACATTTCATGATTTACAGTCAAAAGCCTTTGCCAAGTCACAGAATATTCCACCAACATGCATTTTTTTATTAACAGATTTCAACACACTGTCTGTTAATTTAAAGGTCGCATTTTCGATGGAAATTCCTTTCCTAAAGCCAAACTGTTCTGGTACTAGTATATTGTTACTCTGAAAATAATGGCTTAACCTATTGTGCATAACTTTTTCAAGTACTTTAGAGAAAGTAGTTAGCAGTGAAATTGGCCTGTAGTTTGACATACTAGTCTTGTCCCCTTTTTTATATAGTGGTCTTACTGAAATCTTAAGACAATCAGGAAGGATTCCTGTGGACAGTGAGTGATTACAGATGTGAGTTAGTGGGCTACTGATTAGAGATGAACAAACTTTTGAAATTTTATTTGTTATTCCACCATAACCTGAAGATTTTTTTTTTTTGAGGGAATGTATTATACTTTTCATATGAGTTTCAGTGGTTGGAAGAGGCCGCATCACAGCTCAAGAGGTTACTCGCTGGCTTCTCACCACGGTGGCCCGGGTTCGATCCCGGGTCTGGTAAAGTGGGATCTGTGGTGGACAAAGTGGCACTGGGACAGGTTTTCTCCCAGTACTTCTGTTTCCCCTGCCAATCCTCATTCCACCATATTCTCCATCATAATCACCCAGGGCAGGCTACAATAGGCCAATCAGTGGCCGCCTTGCCAAGTGGACCCAGCTGGACTCCACCCCCCACTAAGCAAATTCAGTAATTGGAATGGTTTTAATACCAGGGAATTTTCTAGGAAATGCCTCTCTTAAAAATGAAATGACATTATCTCCCACTTCTTGATGCAAGTTTAGAGTTTCTGTAACTGTTAGGAAAAAAGTATTGAAGGAATCTGCAATTTCTCTTGGGTCCTCAACTTTTCATCATTTATAAGGAGAGACGGTATCTGTTCAGTCAGATGTGATTTTCCTCTTCCATGTTTTATTATATTCCACGATTTTTTTATCTGATTATTCGATTTTGCTATAAGCCCCAGTAATGCTGCCTTTTAGTCTCTTTTATAACTCTACTCAGAATTTTGCAATACCTTATGTAGTATGCTCTCATGTAGGGATTATTACTGCTCCTGCTGTCTACATACAGACGCCTTTTATGTTTACAAGATATTTTTATTCCTTGTGTAATCCAGTGGTTTTTTATTCTACTTACACTTTTATTCTGCATAGGAAAACTGGCTTCAAAGATATTTATAAAAATATGTAAAAAAAGTTAAACTTATAATTTGTATCCTTATTTTTTAAAACAGGTTCCCATGTGTGACGTCGGCTCCTGCCCGTGGTCTGTGTGCGCACTTCTCCCCTCTACTTTCTCTACTGTCCCCTTCTCTCCTTCCCCTTCCGAGCCGACTTAGCGGCCTAACGTGTGGAGCTAGGGGCTCTTGGCTCTCCAACCGTCGATGGGGTAGGTTGTTCTCGTTTCGGACCACCGGTCGAGGTCATCCTCGACCGTCTAAATTAATTTCTCTACATAGTATTCTATCTTAGAACAGCGAACTCTGCAATCATTCTCATACAGGTATTTACATTATGTTTGTATTCTTTCTTTATTAATATATTATATTTATTCTTTGTTAATATTTGATTTGGTTATTTCTGTTTGGGTATTTCCGCCTTGCTGATTTCTTTGTCCTCCCCTGCTCGCCCTGTCCTGTGATCACGTGAACCTATACGCAACCTGGAGTATCCTCTGTAGGGTACCTACGCTTCAAAAAGTGGTAGCAGAGCGTGGTTCTGCTTCAAAAAGTGGTAGCAGAGCGTGGTTGCGTTCTCATGGTTTCGCTCTCATGGTTATGTTTTCATGGTTGTGTTCTCGTGGTTGGGTTCATGTCCATGGTTTGTTCCACGTCCGTGGCTTGGTTAAGTGAAAACAGGGTGGGACGGAACTGTGGTTTAGACGGTCGTAGTCGCTTGTTATAGTGGTTGGTTGCTTTTGTAGCACGCATTGTTAGCGTGGCTATGTGGTCAACGTAATTTCCTCTGAGAGTCTGGTTAGAATTCGTAATGTGTTTGCACGCAGTCCTAGCGTGGGTTGCCCTGTTATGGTGGTTCGGTTTGTTTGTGTAGGGCACTTGGGTAGGTTATATGGGACTTGTTGACCTGGTTGTGACTCTCTTGTTAATATAATTGTTTCGTGTCTATTTCGTCAGCAGCATTATGGAATCACAAACTATCGTACCCGAATGTTTGCATAAGGATGAGTTAGCGTATGAGTTGGAGGTCCGTGGTATAAATACGGAAGGTTTAAATGTTGCGGATTTGCGATCTCTT